CCCCCGCCCTCCCCCCGGCCGCACCTGGTGCCGCAAAGTAGGGCGGCTCCACCGCGCGCCACTCCTCGGGCTTCAGCGCCAGCTGGTTTCCAAACACCAGGGCGCGCCCCGACAAGCACTGCGGCAGCACCTTTGCGGCAAAGAGTGCGTGCGGACAGCGGCGGGTTGAGAGGTGGGGCTTGGTGGCGCACTTCATACATCCAAGTAGGCAGGCAGCCGGCCGTCAGGGCGAGCGCGCAACGCGCGGGCGGCGATGCTGTGCGGGCGGTTGGCTGCCAGGGTGGGCGCCGGGCGCTAGACGCAACGAAACAAGGACGTCTTGGGGTCCCGTGCGCCCGCGCGTCTCTGGCTGCGGCTGCCCCGTGTGGCCGCAGCTGCTGAGGCTGGCCGAAAGTAGGGCTTCACTGTGGACACGGGTTTGTCAGGGCTCGGTCAATCAAATAAATCCGCCGCGGCAGGGCCTCACCTGTAGCAAATGGAGCGCCTGCGGCGCCTCCCCCACGCCGCCCCCCTTGCCGCCGTCCGCGGGCCCCCGGCCCCGCCAGTTGCTGGAGGACAGCTTGCGCAGCACGGGCGGCTGCGGCGCACCCTCGTCGCCGCCGCCAGCCGAAAACGGCGACGCCTGCGCGGGCGCCCTGTTCTGCGCCCCCAGCGCCGCGCCCGCGCCCGCGCCCAGGCCGGCCAGGCCCGCGGCGCCGGCGTGGGCGGCCGGCGGCGGCGGGGTGGCGGGGTCCTGGATGGGGGTGCTGCCGCCTGGGGTGTGTGCGGGGCGGTAGGTGCCCATGTCAAGGACCAGCGCCTCTGGGGCGCCGACCCTCTTGGACCTGCGCAATCATCGCCAAACAGGGTGACGAAAGGTTGTTGGATGTACAACGGTACTCATGTACTTTGTGGAGACATACCGTAGCAATTCACACGCTCAACCACTAACAGGATGGCACACAAACACACACACACACACACTCAGGCATCCGTGAAGGCCCAAGCAGTCAAAGCAGCAAAGGGCAGGCCGGCTGCGCAGGACGCGTGCCCGCTCACCTGCCGGGTGCGAGCCAGGCCAGCCAGCCGGCCTTGGCCCTGAAGCTGAGGTCAGCCAGGTTGAGGCCCGCGTGGTCAACGGCCCCCAGCTCCTGCAGGCGCTCTTTGACCCGGTCAAACGTGGCGCGGCACATCAGGATCTAAGGAGGGAGAGGTGGTGGGCGACGTGCGTGTGTGCGTGCGTCTTCAAAGATGCAGTTTGGCCGGAGGTTGCTGCCAGACCGAAGCTTGGGAACGGGGTTGGCTGGGGTTGGCTATGGGAACAAAATCAAAAAACAAGCGAGGGATCATTGCCACAGCCAATTGGCGAGTTAATGGACCCGCGATGCCCTGCAGGATGAAAACCGCAGCCGCCGGCAGCCGCCCACGCTAGCTCAAGCCGTGTGCATGTCCGCAATTCACGCCGCACCTGTCCCCCGCTGCCTGCGTCGCTGACTGTCTTGGCCGCCTGCCAGACCTCTGTAGCTTTGAGATCCTGGGGTTGGCATTGAGTGGGGTTGGATGGGGGGTGGGATTGGTGGGTCGTGTTGGATAGAGGTGGATTGAGGTTGGGGGTTGGGGTGAGGGTGGCGGCAGTGAGCACGGGGCAATGAAGGTTGGTTGGTGTAGGATCAAGTGGGGCGGGAGATGGTCGAAAATCAGGTAACAGCGGATGGGTGGGGTTGACGGCGGTGGGGACAGGTGGCCGTTGTGAGCGGCGTGCGGTTGAAGGGGGGGCAAATATACTGCGAATTGTGGGTGGAACTGGGGGCCAGCGCAGCTCCATGCCCACAAACCCACACAGCCCGTGGGCGGCCTGCACAGCCCGCAATCGCGGGTGTTCAGAAAAACAAGCACAAATGGGTAGCGCTGCTGCATAGTTGCACAATGCATCACGCAAAACAGTCGATTGCGCCAGCCTGCGCACCTGCCCGGCGGCCAGCTGCCCAGTGGCAACGCCCATCCTCACGCGCAGCCCCTTGAACAGAGTGGCGTCCTCGCTCAACGCGCCGACGCCATACGGCCCCGCCGCCGCCGCCGCCCCCGCGCCAGTGCCGCCCATCGCCAGCCCGGCGGCGTGGCCCCGGACGGCGCCGCCGCCGCCACTGCCGCTGTGGGCGCGGTGCAGATGCGCGCCGGCACCGCCGTCCTGACTGCTCCTGCCGCTGTCCGGCGCCGGCCCAGGTCCCGTCACAGCAGGCGGCGACCCCAGCAGCCCCCTCAACCCCGGGATCTCCTGCCCCCCGCTGCTGCGCCGCAACAAGCCTGTCGCCGCGCCGCTGTCACCTCCGCCGCCGCTGGCGCTGCGAGGCAGCGCCGGGCTGCCGCAGCCCGGGGCTTCGCCGCCGTCGCTGGAGCCCGCCCCTGGCGAGAGCGCCGCCGCCGCCGCGCCGGGCGCGTGCCAGTCGCCGCTGCCCAAATTCGAGAGCTCCCCTGAGATCGCCGTGCCCAGCCCGCCGCCGCCCGCGCTGCTGCCAATGCTGCTCGGCCCGATGAACCCGCCGCTGTGGCGGTCGCTGCCGCGGCGCAGCAGGTTACGCCAGGAGGGGGCGCGCTGCTGGGTGGGCGGGGTGGGGTCTGACCAGCTGGCCAGGGCGCGGCGGGAGGCGTTGATGGGCGGGATGTCCTGAGGGTGGTGGGGGGAGGGAAAGAGTGGCGATACATGTGTGTGCGTGTGTGTGTGTGTGTGTGTGTGTGTGTGTGTGTGTGCGCGTGCGTGTGCATGTGTGCCGCGTGCACGTGCACATGTGTGTCAGCCAGGCGCGTGTGCGCGACTGCATGTGTAAGCGGGAATACAAGTGTATGCATGCGTGTGGGCCCCAGTCCAGAGAAATTCGTGCTTGTTCACGCGCAAGGTGAGTCAGAAGCCCGGGTTCGCGAGGGGCGAGATGCTCAACGCCCGAAACGTCATGGCTGTTGGGACTGGTGCGCAGCCGCCCGCATGCGTGAGCCTTTGGGGTATCACTCCTGGGGGCAAGTGCAAGGAGAAGAGACATGGCCGCGCCCTCTTCCCGCCCTTCCCGGACGACCCTGCCTTCTTCTTTATGTGTGTGGCCCGCCCTCGCCCCATACAACCCAGACCAGGCACCCTCCCGGCCCCGTCCCCTGTTTACGAGGCTCACTACAGGGCACCACACCACCCACCTCCTTGCCGGACAGGGCCCTCTTGCCGACCGCCAGCAGCGACAGCAGCCGGCTGCGGCTGGTGCTGCGCGGCTGGGCCAGGGAGCCCCCGCCACCGCCCACCAGCTCCTGCGGCCACTCGACGCGAATCAGCGCTTGCTGCGCCTGCGGGCCCGTGGGCAAATGATGTGTGTGCATTTTGTCTGCATGTGTGCGTGCATGCTTTTTTGCATGCATGTGCCGGGGGTGCATGTCGGGACCCTCAAATCCCAGACGTCTTGCTTCTGGGCTGCGCGTGCTGACTGGCCCCAGGGAGGGAAAGTGGGGAAGCTGCTCGTTCACAGGGAGGCAAACGGGTCAAGCTGGCCAATTCCCTTGAGGGGATTGAATAGCTGCCCGCCCAAGGAACGCGAGCAAAAGGGGGGAGAGAGGGGTGCTGGCGATGTGGGGCGCCCGGGCAGCGGCAGGGCCCCAACCCCAGCCTGTATGCGGTCCCTGCATGACAACGTATATGCATTCATGGCCAGCTAGGCAGGCGGGGGGAGGCAGGGCGCCTGGCAAGAGGCCGGGTTCCCCTCTGTGGGCCCGAGCCCCATCTGCCGCCGAGGACAGGTTTCATCCTTTACTCCCCCACCCGAACGCCCTCCCCCAGCACAGACTCTGAAACCCTTGGCACCCAGCACCCACCTGCAGGCAGAAGCAGACCGCGTTCATCGCGTCATGGAACACGATCAAGAACGCGTCACCCTCCTGGGGGGATGACGCGGGGCGGCAGGGGACGGGGAGGCCGAGAGGACGGGGTTCAAAAAGGGGCGCAAGGCAGGCCAACGCATTGCAGAGGATGACATGGGAATACAGCGATGGGGCGTCTGCGGCCGCAGCTGCCAGCGCAGTCTTGAGGACTACTTGCTGAAACTTGCAGGTACAAAACACACATCAAGGTTCGCACCTGCTCTGCCGTATGGCCGCAGTTGGTCCACTTGGCCTTGCGGATGACCTGAGATGATGTCACAGCAACATCACGGGGTCAGTCACACAAAAGAAAGGTGCGCGCCTCTGACGGGCCAAAGGCGCGTATGTGACGCGTGTTGAGACCGTACGACACTTGGCGCGGAGGTGCGGCTTCACACAAGTGCTTCAGTATTCATCATGAGTACCCTCAGGATCAAGGCCCTCTCACCTGGTTGTGCTGCTGCAGTGCATGTGACATGGCCTCGGGGCACTCCTTCATCAGGTCTGGGTTTGGTTGATGGAGGGGGGGCACATGGGATGGGGTGGGTTAGTCGAGGTGGGGATGAGGTGGTCGGGTGGACCGGGGGCAGGGTGAGGGTGATGGCGGGTTCAGGGGTGCATCCGCTGCACCTTGAAGTGGGACACACAACTACACGAACAGAGACATCAAGACACGCACAGCGACTCAAAAACACACACTCACACACACACACACACACACACACACACACACATTCACACACAACAATACACACACGCACGCACGCGCACGCACACACGCACACACATACACACACACACACACACACACACACACAAACGTGCCGGGGTCAGCCTGTGAGGCCCGTCAGCCGGCGCCACCCACTGGAGTAGCCCTCGATGTCCGTGACCACCACGGCCACCTCCCCCTCCTTCTTCATGCCCTGCATGCGCCGCTGCATCGTGTCCTTGTAGCGGCGCAGCGCGTAGAAGCCACCCATGGCCAGGAACCTTGGACGCGGGGGAGGGGGTGGTTGTTTGGCGGGCAGCACAGGGGGTTTCAAAAAGGGGGCTTGCCATGAGGTTGATATGCATTCAGGTTGGGGTTAGGAGACATGGGGGGTGGGGAAGGTCGCGTGTGCACCAGCCGTCGATCAGTTTCAGCCAAGATCGGCCGCGGGGTGGCTCAGGGCTTGCCGTCAAAGAGCGGCCCTCAGGGCCATTTGATGGAGGGCACGAGAAGCAGGCGCAGAGCGGGCCGCTGCGGGGCATCAGGGCCCTGACATGCGGCCCTGATGTGGCGGAGGCACTCACTTGACCCAGCCCCAGACCAGCAGGGCGAAGAGCAGCACCCCCACGAGGGCGAGGGCCAGCGCCAAGGCCAGGCTGCGCCTGTTCTCGCAGCCCATCTCAGGGGACTCGGGGTCCCCAAACCAGGTGGCGCGGTAGCCCTGGGCGATTTGGGTGTTTGAGTGCGCAGTGGGGGGGTGGGTCGAGACTGGGCTGTGTTTCAGGCTGGGGCTGGAGGTTGGGGTTCAGGGTGGGCCGTTTGTGCAGCAGAGGTTGTGAGATTGGGCTTGCAAAGGGATGCTCTGCGCGAGGGCCAGGGCGTGCACCGACGCAGCCCCCATAGTCGCCACACTTGGGTGCTGCGGAGGGCCCCCAGTCGAGCCGCAGGCCAAAGGCAGCCACAGGCCACAAAGCAGGGCTGAATCTTCATGCCCCAAAGCAGTTTTCAATCCCCATCCCGCCCCCTTCCCGCCCCCCCCCCCAAAAAAAACAAAGGACCAAAATGTGTGCTGGTGCGGCGGGAGCAAAGCGGGTTTTGCGAGGGGACGAGATTGCGCTCTCACGTCTGGGCACTGGCAGCCCCTGTAGCGGTAGTAGGAGGGCGGGATCTGCCAGCTGGTGTTGACCGGCATGTACCGCCCGTACTCGTCGCGCGTGTTGGTGCGGATGGTGAAGCACCTGCTCGTTGCGGGAGGACGGGGCCAGCATCGAGGGGCCGAGCGAGGCGCAAGCGTGCTGTTCACTGGCAAACGCCGGTGTGCCTGGGACGGCGGCGTCGTGGGGCGAAGCGAGGGGCAGGGAGCGCCGCGACGGCGCCAGGCCGAGCAGGGGCCACCTCGGCTCACCGCCTAGTGAGTGATCCGCTGCGCTCGTGACGCATGGCGGGGGCGCGCCAAGGGAGAGCACGCTTCATACGGTCTCAGACGCAACGCAGCCCCGGACCCCTCCGGAACCAGCAGCCGCAGCTGAGGCCAGAGATCTTTTCTCGCCTGAGCGTGGTCTGCCGCGGAACCAGCACGTCCGCGCCGCGCGTGGCCAGGGCGTCCAGCGGGGGCGTGAGGAAGTCGGTGAACTCCGTGAAGCGCGGCAGGCAGCCGCTGTGGCCGGGGGCGTCGAGGCCGTCGATGGTGCAGCCGTGCATGCGGGTGCCGACGTTCTGCGCGGGGAGTCCAGAATGTGTGAGGGGGACATGAGCAGGGAGGAGGGCGTATGGAGGGGGGTTATTCGTCCGGGGGAGACGGACAAGAGCTGGAGGGGTCCAGCCGTGCTGCAAACGACCATGGGTGTGAGGTGGTGGGGGCTGTTGTTTTGGGTGAGGGGTGGGTGGCAGGCAGCAGAGGGCAAGGGCGCGCGGCTCAGCAAGGGGGCATGAGAACATAGGTGCATATCGGTGTCAACAGCAGCCGGTGATCTGGAGCTCGCATGCTGCACCAAAGTGATTTGAGATCACGAGGTCGCATTGCAGATCGAGATCACGTGATCGCCCACGTCGAAGATCATGAGGTACTTGAGGTTGCCAGTCGACTCTGGTATCGCGCCCATTATGTCGGCGTTGCCGCGGAGGCTCAGCGCCATCAGCCCGGTGCAGTTCCTGGTGGGGCGCCGCAGGCAGGCAGGCAGGCGAGCGGGGTGCGAGAGAAATCAGTACTCATACGTTTGCAAGGTGACGATGAAGCCACACTTATGCTGATGTGGTCTGCTGAAAATGCCGTGCGCGATGCAGAGCGGCGCAGACGGCAAGGCTGCGCATGTCCAAGGGGGGAAGGCGCGGGGGGGCGGGGCGGGGCGGCGACTGACGGCCGCAAACGGACCTGATGCACCTAGCAAGGCTTCAAGAGCAGCAGGCCAGCAGGCGCGCGGCACACGTCAAGATTGCAGTACTATGTCGCTGGGAAGAGGCACAGTAAAGCCCTTGGCTTGGGGTTTGGCGCGTCTGCGCACCCATGCACTCACCCGACGTTGGCGGGCAGCGTGCCCGTAAACTGATTGAAGCCGACATACACTGTTTTGGGTGGTTGGGGTTTGGCGAGCGCACAGCAAGGCACACTCGTGTCATGTGTGCGCGAAGTGTGTGTGGAGTGTGTGGGGATGCTGCAGTGGGGATGCTGCGATTGTACGGACGCTGGCAGGCTTGCACAGAGGCAGGCGCAGGCGTGCCGTCGGCCTGGAGCGCGTGCTCGCTCATGCCAACCATCACCACCGCGCTGGCTGCATCACCAGCGCAAAGCGCCCATCACTGGCCAGCCTTGCAGGGCGACCCCATTTCGCACGGACACAGAATTTCCCGTATTTTCTCAAGACATACACACACGCCACTTTCACTCTGTCCCCTCATACCTGGGCCAGTCCATCCCTCCGCCCGGCCAGTCCACGCACCCCGCGTGGCAGAGACCCCTAGCCGTCGGCCTCTCCAACGCAGCCCCGCACCCCCGCACCGTATGACAGGCGCTTGAGATGGAAGAGGCCCTCTGGCAGCGTCCCCGTCAGCGCGTTGGCCTCCAGGTAGACATTAGTCAGCAGGGCCAGGTCCTGGATGTCCTCTGACAGGGTGCCGGCCAGCCTGGGGGGTGGGGCCGAGGTGGAGGGGAGGGGCGAGTTTGGATGGAATGTGGGGTGGGGCATCAGGCGAGGGCGATGTGGGCGAATCATGTCGACAGGCAGGGCGTCAGTCAGCCTCTGGGCGGCAAAGGGGTCTGGCAGGTGCGGTCTTCTGGGGGGACACTCAGGACAGCAGGAGGCTGAATCTTGGATGGGGCGGTCGGTATCCTCAGGGCGTCGCCTCACAAGCGCGCGCGCAAGCACAAACTTGAACACACTTGCGCGCACACACACACACACACACACACACACACACACACACACACACACACACACACGCAAGCGCGCGCGCGCGCCTGTTGATCATGGAGTCCAGCAGCCCCATGGACGGCATCAGGTAGAAGGCGTCGGGGATGGTGTCAAAGCTGTTGTTGCCGACGCGCAGGGTGTGCAGCATGGTCCAGCGCCATGACGCAGGGACGGGGCCCGACAGGTCATTCTCCTGCAAGGGGGGGGAAGGGAGAGGGAGAGCCCTTGAAAGTGGAGTGAGTGACTGGACATGCAGGGTGATGGGGTGGAGGAGCGTGCGGGGCGGGTGTGGTTGCTGCTTCTGCAACGTGGGGTGTTTGTTTGAGGGTCTGGGGGCAATCAGGGACGGCGCAAGGGGAATGAGTTGGCAGAGCGGCGTCCGGCAAGGGTGCTCGGTTGGGGTTTGGCAGAGGTGGGTGCTTGGGCGGCGCCCCTAGCAGGGTGCGGCCGGCTGGGGGCTGCAGGGCGGCGCGACGGCGGCTGCCCGCCGGTACCGTCGGCGCTGCCCGCTGGCGGGCACAGCCCGCGCAAGCCAACTTACCACGCCCTCGGCCCTCACGCTGCCGCGCCACGCCAAAAGGCGCGGCGGCCCCCCTCTCTTTTGCCATGCCAACACACCCTGTCACACCCCCGGCCCCAATCAGCCCCCCTACCTTGGCTCTGCCCCATGCGAGCAGCAGGCCTCGTGCCGCACTCCCCCCCCCCCCCACCTCGGGCTCGTTCGCAACCCTCTCTCTCCCCCCAAAAGCCACTCCCTCACAGACTTCATCACACTCGCCTGCACGTCCAGGTTGATCAGGTTGGGGCACCCCTCAAACGCCAGGCGCCCCACAAGCCGGTTGCCTCTCAGCGAGACGTCCTTGAGCGCGCTGCCCGCCCCGCACAGCTGCGGCGGCACGCTGCCGCCCAGCGCGTTGGCGTCGAGGGCCAGGTGCTCCAGCAGGCGGAGGTCACCCAGGGCAGCCGGGATGGTGCCCGTGAGGACTGCGGGGGCCGGGGCGGAGGGGTTGGAGCGGGCGCACGGCGGGGCGTGCGGCCGTGGGCGGGACCTCGAGTGCGGCACGGCGCCGCGTTGGTGCAAGTGGCGCTGTGTCGAATCGCACCGCCCCTGATGCAGCGTCAGTGCCAGGTGGAGGCAATGCTATGTCGCTGCAAGACCCTGTGGTTTGCCCCCTGTGCTGCAACGCCCTGCGCACACGCGCGACAATACGTGCCGCCCGCGCCCGGCAGCAGTCATGTGTCGCTCACGGTTGTCCCCGAGGCTGAGTGACGTCAGATGAGTCAGGTCCTCGACCGCCGCCGCCAGCGGCGCCAGGTCACCAGACAGGTGGTTGCCCTCCAGATTCAGACTGCGCAGCCCCCACCGCGCCAGTGCGCGCACGTGCGGCATCACCTCTGACAGGGGCACCGACATGCGCTGGTTGCGCAGCGACAGCGACACCACGGCATGCCTGTTTCAGGATGTGGGAGAAGGGACAGCCCGGTGATTGCAGGAGGTTGCCCGCAGGATCCACTCGCATCAAGAGGCGCCAGCCAAGCACTGAACGTTTTGCTTGTGTCGCCGAAAGCGATCTCGGCAGTGATCTCAGCAATTAGGCCGCGCGGCTTCCACAGGCGTCATCACAGTGCGGATTCCAGCCGCGAGCGCCGTCCGCCGGCTCAAACACGGCCGCACGCCTGCCGCCTGCCGCCCCCCCACTCAAGCCGGTGCTCCGCACCGATAAGGGCACTTGTCGCACGCTACGCGGCAGCCGAAGCAACAGCACCGCACGGCGCGGCGGCTGCAGCAGTAGCTTGGCGCCGTGGCGTTGGTCAATGGGTCAACGCATGTGGCGCCGCTCTCGAAGGCCAGCTGCGGTTTCAGCATTGCGACGGCATGCACAGGGCGCCATCGCAGATTGCGGGCGCAGTGCTGGGTATGGGGTCGTGTGTCAAGCTTTCTGGCAGTGTACAGCTGCAGAACTGTGACAAGCAATGTGCAGCTCCTGCCGAATTGCAGGCTTTTGAGCGCTGCTTCTTCGATCCCCCCCCCCATGTTTGTTGGCCTGCTGTCGTGGTGAAGGGTGACAGGGCTGGTGACGACAGTTCGCGCTGCTGCGCTTCGATTCATCCATTCACAGCCACCTGTGCCGGCAGCACTGTCAGACCCTGATGAGCCGTTCACAACAGGCCTGGGCCAATGCACCTGCCCCAGACCATCGCGAGGCAGCCGACCACCTCGAGTTCACACCGTCATGCCCACCCACCTTGCTACTGTTCGCTCTGAGGAAGCTTTGCAGCTGCCGCAGCGCCGCCTCCGTCTCATTGCGGCACGTGCCGTTGCAAATCCCTGCGTTGCTTGCTGCACAGGACTCCGGAGGCAGCTTGTCGATGGCGAATGCCACAGTCTGCAGCCCCAGCGTGAGGGCCAGCAGTATGCGTGCTGCCATCGCACTCATGTCATCTTTATTTGCATGTCGTGATTGTTCAGTACTTCTTAATCTGCGAGATCATAGTACTGGCTTCACTTCCACTTTGAGCAACACACCACACGGCCAGCAAAGCAGACAATCCGGCGTGTATCGTTCATTGTCACATGCATCGTAACGCCAACTCTGGGGCCATGCGCACCCGGCTGCCCGTTGCTTCTCGCTGCGTCACCAAGTCACCCGTCCAGTCGACCCACCGATTTACTGATCCCCATGTGTGGTCCCCTAGTGAAGCACTGCCGGCATTGTGAATGCTGATCTGCCAGAAATGCGGTCACAAACACATGAGATTATAGCCAGCCTGCGCCAACCTTACAGCTTGCCTTGCGCACCACCCCACATCCCTGCTGCCCCATGCGTGGCGATTGTCCCACGTGCACAGCTTGCTGCTCACCGTGTGACGTCAATCGCTGTCGCCGCTCAGCAAGTGGCCTGCACGCCCACCATCTGCCAACCACCGGCCGCTTGCTGTGGCCATCAAATCTGTGTATGTACGCCTCACGCTGCTGCCACTGCCGCCGTCTCCCCGGCTGCTGGTGGGAGCTCTGACGTTGCCGCGGAAACGCGGGTATGAGCCTGCCGCCCCCCACCCGGACGGGCTGCGCCCAATGGACGCACCTTCCTTGCGCCCCTTATCCTTGACCCCATTGCTGTTCCCTGCGCCATGTGCGTCAGTCGTCGCAACACGCTGCCCGCGCTCGACAACGGCCGCTGCAAACGCTGCTTCCAACCGTCGTCGCGGAGTTGATGAATTGCTGCCGGCAGCAAAAATGCTGCCGCTGGGCGGGCCCCTTGCGTTCTGCAGCACCTGCTGTCGCAGCAGAGCCTGGTGGTCGCACCCCTGCAGCGACGGCTGCCGCCTGTGCCACGCAGGGGCGCCGCCTTCGCCATCGCCCGGGCCGTCGCCGCCATCGGACGACCCGCTGCCGCTGCTGCTGGCGAGCGTGATTCTCGGGGCGCTCACCATCCCTGAGCCGCGGGTGGCGGTGCCCCTAATTTATGCCATGGAGGGATGCGGCCGAATGCCGTTGGATGCACGGTTGCGTGTAAAACGCCAGCTCGAATGCGCAACATGCAAGTACATTGACGGGCAATCACAGGTGTCCCACCTTGAAGAATGCCGGTGCAGCGAGCGCCGACCTATTGCCAGATGCTGCTGCCCTCGTTCGACCGAGGGCCCCGCCGCGCTGCTTGGCGCTGCTGAGGCGCCCAGACGCTGGCCCAGAACCTCCGCCGCGGCCGAGATGGCCCTGGCGCACTCGGCCTCCGCCTGTTCTGCCGATGCTTGCGACCGCTTGTCCAGCTCAGCCACCTGCAGCAAGAGTGCCGTCAGAAGTGTAATGCTGTGCCCGCATTGTGACATAGAGGGTTGCAGGTCATGTCCTCAGGTCAATGCGCTAGAGAGCGCTCTTTCCATGCAGGGCATTCGCATCAAGGCCCCGCCCCACCTCCACATGCGCAGCACCTGCTGCTCGTACTCGCGCGCCAGCTGCTGCCGCTGCTGCTCGTGGCGCTCCCGCAGCCGCTGCAGCCGCTCCGCCAGCCGCCGCTCCTCGCGGGCCCGCAGCTTGGCCAGCTCTGACAAGGCCCTCTCCAGGGCCTCCTCTGCTGTACGGATTCCTGGTGACGTGTGCCGTGGTGGATTCGCAGTGCGACTTTTGACAACCCCTCTGTGCACTTGAGCAGCGCCGTTTGGCGCTTGATGGCAAAGGGTTGTTGAAAACCGCCGGTTTCTACACAACTAAACACAAGCGATGGCGCCGTTGCGCGCACGTGTGCAGAGTTCTGCCGCACCTGCTTGGTGCTGTGTCATGACCTGCAGGGCGCGCTCGCGCAGCGCCTCCTCCAGCTGCTCTGCCATGGCGTGTACGTACCCGCCAGTGGGGTGGATATATGTGCGAATTGTGTGTTTGCACAAGGGGCGCCGCGCACAGCAGCGGAGCGCATGCGCATGCCAGGAGGCACAGCGTTCAGGGTGTTACTACACGGCTTTTCGGACGACTGTTTTGTGCTGCTGTATTGTCACGCGCTCGTTTCATTCGGTCAAACGCTGCAAAAAGTGCTGACGATCTCCAGTAAGTGCGATACAGTTTGTGCTTCTGTAGCAGTAACAAACATCGAAGCAACCTTGAAACAAAATTGATCACGCTGTGGCACTACGGCACTGTACCGTTGTAGATCTGGCCCGCGTGTACCGTATGTACGCAGCCAGTGTTCACTGTTGCACAGCAATCAAAGGAATCAAGCAGCAATCCCCCTCTATAGATGGCCCCTGCAAACTGCCGCGGGCAGCCACGACATCGGCACCGCACTGACTGCGCTGAGCCCGGCCTGGGGGAGAGCGCACTGCCCCTACAGCGACAAGTGCGTGGCCCCGCTGGTGCTGCAGTGCATGATTTACGTGCTAGTCATGCCAGCGTGGATGTGTCACCGCTCAAGGACGAGGGCGCGGCGCTGATGCATCGTCATCGGTGGCTGCAGAGAGCCGGCGGGCGGGCGGCGAGTGCTGCGGCGCCACTGCTCACCTTGCCGTGATGCAGGGCCTTAGCGGGGCCCTCCTGAGGTCAGCTGTGCCGACCATGGCAGCCATGTGGGGCTCGCAGGGCGTGGCGCCACCTGTAAACCCTCGTGATGCTCTCATTGGGGCGCAGCCCCGCGCTGGTCACCCCCACTCACCACAGCAAGGTTTCCGGATGAATCACACAGCAAGGCGAAGGGTCAAGTCTGCTCGTCGTTTGTAGGGGACTCCGTGGCCCGTCCGACGCAGCTGGGTACGCTGATGCCCCGCAATTTGAGTCCAGGGGCCCCACAAAACCCTGCGCGCACAGTAGTGCTCCAGCGCACCTACAGCCCCCACGCCCCGTGTTTGACCCCAGCCACGTGTGCTCCTCCCTCACGCGAGTTGCTAGGGGGTTGTCTAGAGAGCCTGGGATGCCTAGCTCGCCAGTGGCATGGCAAAACAAAGGCTGGCCTGGGACCTCTCAAGGCCTGACGCAGGGGAGCATTCAATACGTTTGAAGGTGCAGCAGCGTTTTGATTGTTGCCATCCTTCAATGATTTGGGCACACACCCAACAGGGGGGCGCCGTTGACAGGTATCAACTAGACGCGGTAAGGTCAAACATCAGAAGGCTCACGAGGGCACAGGCTGCGAACACACGCAGCTGCAATGTGTGCAAGTCGCTACACAAACATCAAATCCAACGCATACAAGCGACACACGCAGGACCCGTGCTTCTGACTCATAAGCACCAGAGCCAAGCGGCAACCACGTGTAAAAAGCCGCCGTCCGGCTGGGGCTGCTGTCAGCGCACGCAGTGCAGATAAGTAAATAATGCTGCCAATCTGAGGGTGGCATGAGTCAAGGTCTGTGGCGCACACGGAGTACCGGTCTGGGCGCATGCTGAAAAGTTGACTGATGGGGCACACAACAGGCTGCGCGAAAGTGGGGCTGCTTTGCTGTTTTCGAAGCAAAGCCGCAGGCAGCGGCGCCCGCGGCAGCACGATCCTGGGCGTGTACCCGCCGCCAGCAGCGGAAGGTGGCGGCGCGGCATCGAGCGTCTCAAAGTATGCAGGAACAACAAATATGAATCGAACATGCCCAAGGATGTTGCTTGTAAAATTGTTCAGGGGGTAGCGCCAAAACCAAGACGCGTGCAACGCATCCGAACACACAAGGGGCCAGCGCCACAGCCCGGGCCAGCGCGCAACCACCCAGCGACGCAGCGGCCGGCCATAAAGCCGCGTCGGCAACATATTGCTACACAAGAGCGTGCTGAGGGGCGTGTATTCACACCCTGTGCGCTGGGGCTCAAGACACTTGATGTGCCAAAAAAAGTTATGTACAGAGGATGCCTCCCACCGGGACGCCGGCCCAACTCAAGTTGCAGTGTCATCACTGTCATGTGCCCGCACTGCCAGCTGCCCCCCCTCCGTCGCCACCCCCGCCCTGGCGGCCTCCAGCCGCGAATCAAAGCATGTCTTGCAGCGGTGACAAGCACAAATTGAGTGCTGGTGTGGTGGCATTGGCCCGCTATCGTGCATCAATCAGTGCGTGCTTGCTTGGCCCAGCCTGGCCAAGCAAGGAGCCAGGCGGCCAGAGTGCAGACCGTCTCATTCTGCCACATACAACCCCACTGCACTCTGTGGCCACACCCCAGCAATTGCTGCAACACATTCCGCGTGCAGGCGCCGCGCGGCGTCACGCAGCGCTGAAGCACGGGCGCGTCCGGCCGTCTCGCCGGCCCGTGAGGGCGGGCGGCCGCAGCACCTGCTTGGGGCCCGCCCCATGGGGATGGCACCCAGCGCAGTATCAGTAAGCCGCACACCCCCCGCAGCGAGGCCTGGAAAAGCAGGCTTAAAGAAGTGGTAAGAGAGAGGCCGCGCTGCGCCATGCAGCCTGATATGTGCCGAGGCAGGCCGCCACCAGAGGCCGGGCGCCTCACAGGTTGCGCGTCGGATGGGTGCACTTCCGGCGGCTCTTGGGCGGCGCGTCCGCGTGGCCCTCGCTGCCGCTGTCGCTGGCACCGCGCTTGGCGCCCCCCTCGCGCCGCTGCCGCCGCGCCGCAGCCCTCGCCGCCGGGTGCTCCTCGCGTTTGCGGCGCCGCGCGTCGGCCGCCGCGGTCGCCGCGCGCGCGAGGGCGGCGATAAAGTCTGCGGGCAGCGCGCCGCCGCCCGCTGCCGCGAACCGCTGCGCCAGCGCCGCACGCAGCGCCTCGATCTCGACGGCCGCCGCCTCCTCGCGCCGGGCCTGCTCTTGCCGCGCGGCGGCAGCAAGGCCAAAGATGCCCGCCTCCCTAAGCGCACGCTCCAGCCGAGCCTGGTCCGGCCGCCTGCGCTTTCCGGCCGCGCGCTTGCGCGTGCGGTGCAGCACGTCCAAGTCGCCGCAGCGAGTTCCGGGCAGCTTTACACCCAGGCACTGCGCCGCGGCGAACATTGCGTGGAGTGGCATCGCTGCGGATGCGCCAGGCTGCGCAGACGTGGAGCCACTGGGATGCACTGGGTGCAAGCTGCCAGGAGCGGGCCTGGGCTCTGCTGCGGCTGCGCGCGCAGCACGCGCCTGTTGGAGCGCGCGCAGCAGCTGCTGCAAATGCTGCAACTGTGCATTTTCCTGTGAAGGCTCCTGTTGCTGCTGCTGCTGCTGCTGCTGCTGCTGCCGCTGCTGCTGCTGTTGCCGCTGCTCTTGGGGCTTTGTGATGTTGAAGATGTGTTGCAGCAACAGCTGCTGAGCCGCCGCTGCTGCCCCAGCATGCTGCTGCGGCTGGCCATGCGCCAATGCCTCCAATTGCGGCAGCTGGCGCTGCGATGCTCGATGCTGCTGCTGCTGCTGCTGCTGCTGCTGCTGCTGCTGCTGCTGCTGCTGCTGCCGCTGCTCGAGGAAGAGCTCCCTTCGCCTGACAGCATCCACCAGCGAGCGGGCTGACCTCAGATTCAAAACGCAGACCGGGTGCTCGTCGCTTGCCGCTGACGCCGCGGCCTGCGTGAGCCGCTGCGCTTCGCTTGGGTGCACCTGCTGCTGTGCGCGGTCGGCGGCGCCGCGGGCACCCAGCAGGCCGGGCTGCGATGCTTCCCGCAGCAGCGACGAAAGCCGCGCATCCATCTGGCTCTGGTGCAAATGACCCTGATTGGGCGGGGCCTCCCGCACCTGCGTTCGCTGCTGCTGCTGCTGCTGCTGCTGCGCGTGTGCCAAAACCTCCTGCCTGTGTGCCGCGCTGCATGCTGCTGCAGCCGCCAGTGCACCTGCCTCAGGATGCTGCTGCAGCTGGAGCGCCTGCTTCCGCAGTGCAGCCTGCTGCAGCACCTGCAGCACCTTGCGCAGCAAACCTCTCTGCCTGAGCGCCTCCACCGGGCTGTCACCCACCACGTGCTGCTGCGCCTGCTGCCCCTGGTATGCCCGCTGATCGGCTTGCGGCTGCTGCAGCTGCTTCTGCCGCTCTTGAATGGGCACGGCTGCGAGCTCATCCCCGTCTGGTGCCTGGCGTTGAGAGGCCGAGCCACTCTCCGCGCCACAGCTTGAGCCCCTGCCAACGCCAACCAACCCGCTGGGCGTGGGCGCCACCACAGGTGCCACTGGAGGTGCCCCCGCAGGCGGCACAAGTGTGAACTGCTGCACGGGAGTGCCTGACGATGAGGCCGGAGTGCCGGTCGGGGCGCTCTGCAGCAGCCGCGCGACAGTGCGCGCCACGGGGTTGCCCTGTGCCACCAGGGTCTCCAGCTTGGATGACACCGCGCCCCCGCCGTGCTGCTTCTCGCGCGCCAGCGCGACCAGCCGCCTCGTCAGCTCCGCCTTGACGCGCCGGGACTCATCCGCGGCCGACTCGGCGGCGGGGCCGCCGGGAGCAGAGGCCGCGGGGCGGCGCAGCAGCAGGGCAGGCGCGACGTCGGCGGTGTCCGTCTCTGAGGAGGGCGTGCTTGGCTTGTCAGCTGCGGCCTCGTCCTTGCCCCCTGAGGTGGAGACGCGCGCCAGCGCTGGCGACACCGTGGGCGCCAGGGGACGCGGCGGCTGCATTTGCTGCTGCTGCTGCTGCTGCTGCTGCTGCTGCTGCTGCTGCTGCTGCTGCTGCTGCTGCTGCTGCTGCTGCTGCTTTTGTGTCTGCTGCTCCTGGTTTTGCATGTACCGCAGCTGCAGCTGCACCTTCACCTGCTGATGCTGCACCTGTTGCTGCTGCTGCACCTGCTGCACCTGCTGCGGCTGCTGCAGCGGCAGCGGCCACTTGTGCGCTGCCCGCAGCGCGCTCAGCACGCGCTCGGCGGCTCCCCGATCCGCAAAGGTGTACAGGGGTGCCTAATCAGTTGGGCGAGCGAGGGATTTATCTCTTTGGTGCTCAGCGGAACATAAAGTCGAATTCACATGTTGCGAGGCTGCATGGTGCAGGCACCCGCGCATACATGAGTAATGTGGTGGGCACAATCGGCGCACTTGCTTGACACCCGGCCCCACGCGATGACATAGTGCCCTTGCCCAGGCGGAAAGCTTCGCACCCGCTCGGCAACATCCTTCATAGGCACCCTGTTGACAATCGCCCATGTGCCAGATGGTAGCTCCTCAACCATCAGCGCGGCGTCGACAGAATTCGAATCGACAGGGCCTGGAGCACGCACAGCGCACCCGCGTGCTGCCAGCCCGCCTGCAGGACCCGGCAAGTGCACCGGGCACGCAAGCATGACGACTATCGCCTACAAGAAGGGTGTGCCGAGGACAAGGGACTTGATTGGTCAGGCCGAATGAAGCACATGACTCACGACAAGTCCCAGTGGCCGATGCGGCAGTATCAACCAAGAAAAAATATTCACATCGATTTAATTGCAGCGCGCACATGTGGTAGACTTAGGGAGCAGGCAGCACGCTGGCTGCAACACAGCTGCCTCGGTGGTCTGCCCCACCGGCCAGCCCCCTCACCAAGGCGCTGCCCGCGTTTCGGGGACTGCTAGTAGGTCGTTTAGTGTTCCTAGTCCTATCACTGCGTGCGAGTGGTCGCCTACAAGCCCTGCAGCCGACTCTGATACCCTCGCAGGCTCGGAGTTGGGTGAAATGTGAGCATGGAAAAGTGCGCGTGGGTGGACAAACGTACGACGCTGGCCAATACGATACATCAAACCAGCGACACCGGGCGTTCAACACACTGGGGGCTCGCAAAATCCGGGTTACGAGCGAGTGTGTGTGCCCAAACAGTCCGCCCAGACCCAAAGCCAATCCATCGGCGGAACCCCCTAAAGGACACTCCGTCACGCGCCGATCATCTCTTCTTCATATAACTCGAACTTCAGCGATGTGTTCGCCTCCGAACAAGCGGCCCCGTTGCAAATGTGACAACGAACCTGAGTGTGACCAGGATTTGCTGTCGCGTTAGAGGTTTCGAAAGGAATCGCCTCTTAGCCGTTGGCGAGCTGAAGTCCTTACAAAATACCTTCCTTGCCTGCTGGCCCCTGACTCCATCAACCACACCGACCAACGTCGCCCCCGGTTGCTGACCTCACAACGACAATCGTACATCGAACAGCCAACGGGGCAGTCTCATCAGCTGTGAGGCTGTGACGGCTTGGTGCTGCATTCATATCCCCGTTTCTGGGACGCCGCGGCCGAACGCATTGTTGTCGCCTGGGGTCATGCGAGGGTGTCCCGTACCGTACATGGTCGCGCACAAGTTGCAGTCAAATCAGTTTGACCCGCCAGAATCACAAAGCCGCTGCGCTATGTTTGCCACCAAGCCACACATTTAAAGTGCAGCAACCCTTGTCCAGACAGCTTTACGGCTGCAGTGCGTGCGTACATTCACGCAGGGCGTCTGATGTACGTGTGCCCCAGAACGACGTACTTGAGCGTGTAAAATACCAAGCGCCCATGCAGGAACCACCTTGTTATCCTTGATATTATGGCTTGCAGCCTAAATTTGGGCTGGTTGATGGGGCCCTTTCCTTTCCGGAGGGCGCACGGCAGTGACGCCAACCCTTGTCGGCCCGGAACCCAAGGGCATTTGGGCGCAAGCTGTCACTCCAGGCTGCAAACACACACAGAGAGAGAGGCAGAGAGAGAGAGAGAGAGACTAAGCTGACGCCTTGCGCGACTAAAGTCACGCTGCAAGCGGCGCCGGGGTGGGTTAAGGAGAGGGGTGTGCGTGGTGAGCCACACACCCCAAGGCCGAGACCAAACGAGCTTGTTCACGCGACCCCGCGCCCTTGACGCTACCACGATGGGCAGTTGCTTCTTGCAGACGGTGCTTCAGGGGGATCCAGACGACTGCAAACACACATGCAAGCCTGCGCACGGCTCACAGCGCCTTGGCCAAGGCGCTCAATCACTATTGTACGGCATGGGAGCTGAGGTGGCAGGGTGCCCTACAACAATTGGGCAGCAGCATCAAAGGCATCAGTCTGCTTCAGGCATCGCTCAACATCTTACATAACAGCCCCGGTATTCTCTTCGGATAGGCTAATCAACAGGCAGTCGTCTAAACACGTAGATCATTTGTTGCTTGGCAAGCCCCCGCTACGAACTGATATGCACTATCGCAGACACATCACTGTTTTGGTGCAGTGTGATCTCTCCTGAAACTGTTCAGAGCCTCAGATCACCAGCACAACGTTGACCGCACTCGCCCGCTGCAACGTTGAAGCCATGGTCTCGGTGGCACCAGAGGCCGGCACAGTACACCCGCTGTTTGCAGAGGGTCCGCTGCCGCCGTGCGCCCCGCCATACGAAGACAGGCGAGCGAGGCTGTGTGCCGGCTGCAACGCAGATTGAGCGAGGCACTGCAGAGTCGGCGGCATGTGAGACTATCGAACCCCGCCCCCAGGCAGGTCGATCATACCTTAATTCCACACAAGGGTCCAGCGCGCCCATCTGCGATTTTTCAGGTTCAAGGTGGTACGGGCCAAGACTGTCATCGGCGAGGTGCTGCGGGCCAAGCTGGGCGGCGCTACGTACCAGCCGGACAGCGCATCAGCCTGGTCGCGCGAAATCGCGGACGAGGTCAAGCGTCGCCTCAAAGGTGAGCTGGCGCACTGCCTCGGGCATGCCGCAACGGACGGGCGCCTGGGTGCGAGCTGGTCTGCATCCAGCTGGCACATTGCCTCTGTCTTGCAACGCAGCTGTGGGTAGTAGCGGTTCTACGAACGCCAGCGATCATACCACCGAAAATTTGGGGATGCGAAGATGTGCGGCTGCACATTACGCTCTCTGCGCGCGATTTTGATGCAGCCGGGCGGCTGCACCCCTGCTTGCATTCTTCGCGCCCAGGGGAACCCTGGGCACGGCGTTACAAGCTGGTGGTGCAGGTTGTAGTAGGCGAGCAGCGGGGCGAGGGCTGCCGCGTGTCAGCACGCTGCTTTTGGGACCAGCAGGCGGACGGCTGGGCGCAGGAGTCATTCTCGAATGTGAGCATTGCACGGCTGGGTTGCGTTCAAAAGCCGAGCAGCAGGGCAACAGGGTCCTGCTGGCACAGCGCGTGCTCTTGCGCCCTCGTCACACATGTGCATGGCCCGATAACAACCAGACCTTTCAGCAACCAACTGCCACATCTCCCAATCATCGCTTTGACGACGGTGCAGGAGAGTATATTCTGCGTGTGCGCAGCATTTGGATGCTACCTGTACTGAACAAATTGGAATAATCTGTAATCTGGCATGACGTTCTACTGCCATGTTGTCCTCCCGTCCCAAATGTAGCGGGCAGGCCAAAAATGGTGGCTTTGCACTTGTGGCAATTTTTGGATCAAGGCGAACACTCGCAGTGTACAGGCAAGCGATCAGCTTCTTGACGGGAGCGGCGGCATGGGGGTGGGAATGCGCAAACCAGACGATGAGCATATGTCACTCTTTTGGGCTGCTGGGCCAACAAGCTTTGCGCACCTGCAAGACTGGTACAGCAGCTGATTCCCAACTTGATGGCGACAAGGATAACCACCCTAGGCCATGGTGCCTGTGCTATACTCAATGCCATGGATGTTGCCTCGCATGCTGCATGACGTGTCGAGAACGCCCCTATAAAATATCAACAAAACACAGCCGTGCACTGCCCCTCTGCCTCCCACCGCCACTGCTGACCACATTCCAAGTTCGGCCCACCCCAGCCCAGTCCTATTGTTTCAGACGGCTGCTCACCATGCTGACGCTCACTAGGCACCAGGCCTTCGCGCCTGCGCGCACTGCCAGGGCAGCAGCACCTCGTCCGTATGTGGCGTCCACGGTGCTCTCGGGCGCCACACTGCAGCAGCGTCGGGCAGGTGCGCGTCGATAAAAGTGTATATATGAGATTGTATTGGCAAGCTCGGCGACTTGGCCAACGCCCTGTCGCACCTTGCTGCTGCAGAGGGGGCGGGCGTGCTCGCTGCCCCGGACAATGGCGCCAAGGCGACCATGATGCGCCACGGCAATCGCGTCAAGCACCTTGGTCGCCCTGCCGACCAGCGGAAGGCGCTCATCCGCGGGCTTGTCACAGAGGTCATCAGGAACGGCCAAATCCGGACTACCAAGGTGCGGGGCGGCCCATTGACGCCGTTCCGCCACAATAGGACATATGGTATCGATTGATATCCTTGGGCACCGCCCATTAGCCATTGGACCCCGCTGGGCAATGCCGGCGGCTCTAGGCGCAGCTTGCAGCGCGCACGCTGCATCCTCAAGTGTGGCCAGCAGTCCATGGCAGGCGCACACCAGCAGGGCAGGTCCAATGCGCCAGCATACTGTTCAATCTTCCTGTCAGGGATTGCCTGTGAGGGGTGACGGCAACAGAGGTGTTGATGTGCGGTCACTATTGGGGGTGCTTTGCGGCGCGCCACTGCTACGCTGTCCAGCGGTGGCACGCCCCTGGCATCAGCGGTGCTACAGTCTCTGGCTGCTGCACAGGGGGCAGCACGTCGCAGCTTTGGCTGGTGGCGGCCGCCGCGCGGCGCGCCAGCGCTCGCTGCTGCCCCGCAGCGCACGGCCCGCCCCAGCTTCCTCTCGCGCGGCCGCGTTGACGCTCACTCGCGGCCCCTACCCACATCGCACACCCTCACGCGACCGCGCCACGCCCTCAGATCAAGGCCAAGGTCATCCGCAAGTACGTGGATAAGATGATCACCCTGGCCAAGGACGGCAGCCTCCACGCGCGGCGGCAGGTGCGCCCGCAGCGGCCGCGCCAGGGGACGCCCTGCGGCATCGCCCCTCGCGAGTCACACTGGCATGGCGTGGCAGCGGGCGCGCAGCAGCAGCGCGGCCCTGGGCCGATGATTGCCCGCGCCTGTACCGCTTGGAGACACGCAGCCGCCGTCGCCCAACGCCGCCCTGATTCGCTTTCCCCCATGTCGCCTGCGATCCCTCACTTAAAAAGGCGCTGGCCTTTGTCTACGACAAGGAGCTGGTGGCGTCGCTGTTCAGCGGCGTTGGGGACCGCTTCGGCGACCGCAACGGCGGCTACACGCGCATCAAGCCCGACCTCAAGGTGAGGTCCGGGGGGCGCAGGGCCGGGCCCGGGGGGGGGGGAGGGGCGCTGGGCTCAGGGGAGCGGCCATGCGGCCCCAGGGGCGCGCGGCGCCCAGGGATGCAGGGCGCGCCTGTGCGGCTAGGACGGTCGGGGCCAGGGCGGGGTGCGCGGAGGGTGGCGAGCAGCACGGGGGCAGGGTACGGCGG